CCCACCGCAACTCCACACTCCCTCTATTCTCACCGGAACTCCACACTCCCCTCTATTCTCACCAGAACTCCACGCTCCCCTCTATTCTCACCGGAACCCCACACTCCCCTCTATTCCCACCGGAACTCCACACTTCCCTCTATTCCCACCAGAACTCCACACTCCCCTCTATTCTCACCAGAACTCCACACTCCCCTCTATTCCCACCGGAACTCCACACTCCCCTCTATTCTCACCAGAACCTCCACGCTCCCCTCTATTCTCACCGGAACTCCACACTCCCCTCTATTCTCACCAGAACTCCACACTCTCCCTCTATTCTCACCAGAACTCCACGCTCCCCTCTATTCTCACCGGAATTCTACACTCCCCTCTATTCCCACCAGAACTCCACACTCCCCTCTATTCTCACCAGAACTCCACACTCCCCTCTATTCTCACCGGAACTCCACACTCCCCTCTATTCTCACCAGAACTCCACACTGCCCTCTATTCTCACCAGAACTCCACACTCCACTCTATTCTCCACCGGAACTCCTACACTCCCCTCTATTCTCACCAGAACTCCACACTCCCCTCATATCTCACCCAGAACTCCACACTCCCCTCTATTCTCACCGGACTCCACACTCCTCTCTAGTCCCACCGGAACTCACACTCCCCTCTATTCTCACCGAGAACTCCACACTCCCCTCTATTCTCACCGAGAACTCCACACTCCCCTCTATTCTCACCGGAACTCCACACTCCCCTCTATTCCCACCGGAACTCCACACTCCCCTCTATTCTCACCGGAACTCCACACTCCCCTCTATTCCACCGGAACTCCACACTCCCTCTATTCCCACCGGAACTCCACACTCCCCTCTATTCTCACCAGAACTCCACTCTCCCTCTATTCCACCGGAACTCACACACTCCCCTCTATTCTCACCGGAACTCCACACTCCCCTCTATTCCCACCGGAACTCCCACACTCCCCTCTATTCTCACGGAACTCCACACTCCCCTCTATTCCCACCGGAACTCCACACCTCCCTCTCTATTCTCACCGGAACTCCACACTCCCCTCTATTCCCACCGGAACTCCACACTCCCCTCTATTCCCACCGAACTCCATCACTCCCCTCTATTCTCACCAGAACTCCACGCTCCCCTCTATTCCCACCGGAACTCCGCACTCCCCTCTATTCTCATCTGGAACTCCACACTCCCCTCTATTCTCACCAGAACTCCACACTCCCCTCTATTCTCACCGAACTCCACACTCCCCTCTATTCTCATCGGAACTCCACACTCCCCTCTATTCTCACCAGAACTCCACACTCCCCTCTATTCTCACCGGAACTCCACACTCCCCTCTATTCTCACCAGAACTCCACACTCCCCTCTATTCTCACCAGAACTCCACACTCCCCTATATTCTCATCGGAACTCCACACTCCCCTCTATTCTCACCAGAACTCCACACTCCCCTCTATTCTCACCGGAACTCCACACTCCCCTCTATTCTCACCGGAACTCCACACTCCCCTCTATTCCCACCGGAACTCCACACTCCCCTCTATTCTCACCAGAACTCCACACTCCCCTCTATTCTCACCGGAACTCCACACTCCCCTCTATTCTCACCAGAACTCCACACTCCCCTCTATTCTCACCAGAACTCCACACTCCCCTCTATTCTCACCAGAACTCCACACTCCCCTCTATTCTCATCGGAACTCCACACTCCCCTCTATTCTCACCAGAACTCCACACTCCCCTCTATTCTCACCGGAACTCCACACTCCCCTCTATTCTCACCGGAACTCCACACTCCCCTCTATTCCCACCGGAACTCCACACTCCCCTCTATTCTCACCAGAACTCCACACTCCCCTCTATTCTCACCAGAACTCCACACTCCCCTCTATTCTCACCGGAACTCCACACTCCCCTCTATTCTCACCGGAACTCCACACTCTTCTCTATTCCCACCGGAACTCCACACTCCCCTCTATTCTCACCAGAACTCCACACTCCCCTCTATTCTCACCAGAACTCCACGCTCCCCTCTATTCTCACCAGAACTCCACACTCCCCTCTATTCTCACCGGAACTCCACACTCCCCTCTATTCTCATCGGAACTCCACACTCCCCTCTATTCTCACCAGAACTCCACACTCCCCTCTATTCTCACCGGAACTCCACACTCCCCTCTATTCTCACCAGAACTCCACACTCCCCTCTATTCTCACCAGAACTCCACACTCCCCTATATTCTCATCGGAACTCCACACTCCCCTCTATTCTCACCAGAACTCCACACTCCCCTCTATTCTCACCGGAACTCCACACTCCCCTCTATTCTCACCGGAACTCCACACTCCCCTCTATTCCACGGAACTCCACACTCCCCTCTATTCTCACCAGAACTCCACACTCCCCTCTATTCTCACCGGAACTCCACACTCCCCTCTATTCTCACCAGAACTCCACACTCCCCTCTATTCTCACCAGAACTCCACACTCCCCTCTATTCTCACCGGAACTCCACACTCCCCTCTATTCTCACCAGAACTCCACACTCCCCTCTATTCTCACCGGAACTCCACACTCCCCTCTATTCTCACCGGAACTCCACACTCCCCTCTATTCCACCGGAACTCCACACTCCCCTCTATTCTCACCAGAACTCCACACTCCCCTCTATTCTCACCAAACTCCACACTCCCCTCTATTCTCATCGGAACTCCACACTCCCCTCTATTCTCACCAGAACTCCACACTCCCCTCTATTCTCACCGGAACTCCACACTCCCCTCTATTCCCACCGGAACTCCACACTCCCCTCTATTCTCACCGGAATTCTACACTCCCCTCTATTCCCACCAGAACTCCTCACTCCCCTCTATTCTCACCAGAACTCCACACTCCCCTCTATTCTCACCGGAACTCCACACTCCCCTCTATTCTCACCAGAACTCCACACTCCCCTCTATTCTCACCAGAACTCCACACTCCCCTCTATTCTCACCGGAATTCTACACTCCCCTCTATTCCCACCAGAACTCCACACTCCCCTCTATTCCCACCAGAACTCCACACTCCCCTCTATTCTCACCAGAACTCCACACTCCCCTCTATTCCCACCAGAACTCCACCCTCCCCTCTATTCTCACCGGAACTCCACACTCTCCTCTATTCCCACCAGAACTCCACGCTCCCCTCTATTCTCACCGGAACTCCACACTCCCCTCTATTCCCACTGGAACTCCACGCTCGCCTCTATTCTCACCGGAACTCCACACTCCCCTCTATTCCCACCAGAACTCCACACTCCCCTCTATTCTCACCAGAACTCCACACTCCCCTCTATTCCCACCGGAACTCCACACTCCCCTCTATTCCCACCGGAACCCACACTCCCCTCTATTCCATCGGAACTCCACAATCCCCTCTTTATTCCACCAGAACTCACACTCCCTCTATTCCCACCAGAACTCCACACTCCCCTCTATTCTCACGGAACTCCACACTCCCCTCTATTCCCACGGGAACTCCACACTCCCCTTCTATTCCACCGGAACTCCACACTCCCCTCTATCCCACCGGAACTCCACACTCCCTCTATTCCCACCAGGAACTCCACACTCCCCTCTATTCTCACCGGAACTCCACACTCCCCTCTATCCCACCGGAACTCCACACTCCCCTCTATTCCCACCAGAACTCCACACTCCCCTCTATTCTTACCGGAACTCCACACTCCCCTCTCTTCCCACCGGAACTCCACACTCCCCTCTATTCTCACCGGAACTCCACACTCCCCTCTATTCCCACCGGAAACTCCACACTCCCCTCTATTCTCACCGGAACTCCACACTCCCCTCTATTCCCACCGGAACGCCACACTCCCTCTATTCCACCGGAACTCCACACTCTATTCCACCGGGAACGCCACAAACTGACCGCCACATCCTCTATTTCCCACGGAACTCCACACTCCCTCTATTCTCACCGGTAACTCCACACTCCCTCTATTCTCACCGGAACTCCACACTCCCCTCTATTCTCACCCAGAACTCTACACTCCCCTCTATTTCCCACCAGAACTCCACACTCCCTCTATTCTCACCGGAAACTCCACACTCCCCTCTATTCCCACCAGGAACTCCACACTCCCCTCTATTCTCACCGAACTCCACACTCCCCTCTATTCCCACCGGAACTCCACACTCCCCTCTATTCTCACCGGAATCCACACTCCCCTCTATTCCCACCGGAACTCCACACTTCCCCTCTTTCCCACCGGAACCTCCACACTCCCCTCTATTCTCACCAGAACTTCCACGCTCCGCACTCTATTCCCACCGGAACTCCGCACCTCCCCTCTATTCTCATCGGAACTCCACACTCCCCTCTATTCTCACCAGAACTCCACACTCCCTCTATTCTCACCGGAACTCCACACCTCCCCTCTTTCTCATCGGAACTCCACACTCCCCTCTATTCTCACCAGAACTCCACACTCCCCTCTATTCCAACCGGAACTCCTCACTCCCCTCTATTCTCACCGAAACTCCACACTCCCCTCTATTCCCACCAGAACTCCACACTCCCCTCTATTCCCACCGGAACTCCACACTCCCCTCTATTTCCACCGGAACTCCACACTCCCCTCTATTTCCACCAGAACTCCACACTCCCCTCTATTCCCACCGGAACTCCACACTTCCCTCTATTCCCACCGGAACTCCACACTCCCCTCTATACTCACCGGAACTCCACACTCCCCTCTATTCTCACCGGAACTCCACACTCCCCTCTATTCTCACCGGAATTCCACACTCCCCTCTATTCTCACCAGAACTCCACACTCCCCTCTATTCTCACCAGAACTCCACGCTTTCCTCTATTCTCACCGGAACTCCACGCTCCCCTCTATTCTCACCAGAACTCCACACTCCCCTCTATTCTCACCAGACATGGCGCGCAGTCCTCACCATAGCGCGAGAGGAGGAATCGCGAGCGCGCGAGGCAAAACTTAAATAGAAAATATTTTGTTGGAATTAAATATGAGTAGTCTGTTGAAGCATCTTGTCTTGCAAAAAATTCGAGTGCGTTTTAAATAGTGTTCATCAGTAACACTTTTGAAAACCGACAATCATCATATCTTGCCCTGACTGAACAATGTCTCCCAAATGTTGGTTGTTCACTTGTTTAGAATTATAATTTATATCGTGAGCATTGTCGTATATTGCATAAGTAACGTACATTAAAGAAGTGATCTTCGTGATGATGTATTAACTAGATGCATGTAAGTATGAACGTTGCGGGAGTAATCGAGCCCAAAGGCAGGCGTGATAAACACAGTGAGTATGGTGGCAACTCCCTCACTAGAGCTGAGTGCTGGATGATCTCAGCGACGTCCGCATTCAGTACGCCCCTTCTATAATAACCTCGGGCCTGGAGGACGCTCGGTTCGAATTCGTGAGAGCGCTGATTTCGGTTTCCAAGAGGCGAGGCGATAAAAGCGACGTCTTGAGATGGCGGAAACTGCTCCTGCTCAACCACCAGCTGCGGCTACTTCAGCGCCTAAAAGCCCCAAGAAGAAGCGCGCCGCTCCAAAGGCCAAGAAGGTCGGCCCCAGCGTGTCCGAGCTCATCCTCAAGGCTCTGGCCAGCAGCAAGGAGAGGAACGGCGTGTCTCTTCCTGCGCTCAAAAAGTCGCTTGCTGCCGGAGGATACGACGTGGAGAAGAACAATGCCCGCGTGAAGTTGGCCATCAAGAAGCTCGTGGCCAAAGACGCCGTGGCGCAAGTGAAGGGCAGCGGCGCGTCTGGCTCTTTCAAACTCAACAAGGAAAAGGCTGCCGCAAAGGCGAAGCCCAAGTCGTCAACGGCAAAGCCCGCAGCTAAAAAGCCCGCGGCAGCCAAGAAGGTGAAGAAGCCCGCGGCAGCCAAGAAGACCGCGCCCAAGAAGTCTCCCAAGAAAGCAAAGAAGCCCGCGGCTGCCAAGGCGGCCAAGAGCCCCAAAAAGGTGAAGTCGGCTGTTAAGCCCAAGAAGGCGGCGAAGAGCCCAGCCAAGCCCAAGGCTGCGAAGCCCAAGGTCGCTAAGCCCAAGACCGTCAAGGCCAAGGCCGCCAAACCCAAGGTGGCCAAGCCCAAGAAGGCCGCGGCCAAGCCCAAGAAGACTGCGCCAAAGAAGTGAATCCGATGGGACGACCGACGCTCGATTCACTCCACCTCAACGGCTCTTTTCAGAGCCACCCACTTCGTTAAAAAAGTGAACCAGATGCTGCTGCGCTTCAATTAGTTCAAATTAACTGTGTAACATTTCACCCACTCGATGTGTTTTAAGCATTGATGTGATGGGAGTGATCGAGCCCGAAAGCAGGGATCACAAACACAGGCGAGGCGGGTGGCAGCTCCCTCACTCGAACTGAGTGCAGAGTAATCTCAGCGACGTCAGCATTCTCGCTGGCGATTCTAATCTAAATCCAGATTCAAAATCGATGCATTCTTGACGAACCTCCAATTTTGATTATGTGTTGCACCTCTTCATTTCGTCATCATGTTACTGGTGCCAAATATGGAATTTCGTCTAAAAATGTATTGATTCCAGACAGCTTTACTCAATTTGCCTTCATTCGCGCGTTCTGACCTTTTCAATTTGTTTTTGTTTTGTAAACATTGCGGTGCACCATCTAAACTTCTCTATTAAATTAATTACTATACGTAAATATCGCATTGTTTGCAATGTCTTTCTTACTTTGGGACAACTAGTTGGTGACGTTCACTCAACTATTGTGTTGGAAGCCGTTAAGCTTCACACGATTATAAAGTTAGTTCATCTTGTTCACTTGAAAACAAGACCTTACACCGATTATTCACTCCACGTGCAATCTTGCAACAGATCGCGTTCCTCTGGCGTTCGCTGCGGGTGTGCCAATATCATTCCAGAGTGCTTCGAAGAAGGGCCATTGCCCAAAACGTCGCATATTATACATGTCAAGGAAGTGTTATTGACGACGGTGGAGGGTTTTCTTCGTCGCAGAGGTTAAAGGTGGAAGGTTTAAGGCGGAGCCATCGCGGAGGGCAGGGGTGGTCGGTGACGTCGCCACGCTTCGGGTATAAAGGCGGCTGCTGCTGCAAGCTGAGCGCGCAGTCTCTCGCGAGGAGCTTTGTCACAAGTAGTCGCAATGTCTGGACGCGGTAAAGGCGGTAAGGGGCTCGGCAAGGGAGGCGCAAAACGCCATCGCAAGGTGCTGCGCGACAACATCCAGGGCATCACCAAGCCCGCCATCCGCCGCCTCGCTCGCCGCGGCGGTGTGAAGCGCATCTCGGGCCTCATCTACGAGGAGACCCGCGGCGTCCTGAAGGTCTTCCTTGAGAACGTCATCCGCGACGCCGTCACCTACACGGAGCACGCCAAGCGCAAGACCGTCACCGCCATGGACGTGGTCTACGCCCTCAAGCGCCAGGGCCGCACTCTCTACGGCTTCGGAGGCTGAGCGCCCATCTCTCGCACACTAAGCCAACCCAAAGGCTCTTTTCAGAGCCACCCACCTCTTCGAAACTGCTTGCGCCAGTGTTGCCAAACACGCTCTGAATGGAGCACATGTCCTGGGTTGTTGTGAGCGTGCTGGACGTTCGCTTGTTGAGTTGGCGAGTCTTCATCTGCTTCCACATGAATGAATGAAAGAAATCATGATATTCACGTCACATTTAACAAGGCGTAATTCTTGAACGCCTTAATACAGTACCCATTTCTGGTATTTTGCGTGAATTATTTCCAGCTGCAGCCGATTCCGATATTACGTAGAGCATTTGGCGCCACAATCTTACAGCACACTCGTCCTAATTGACGTAGCGTGCCGGAATGCTACTCTCCACCTGTACAGCACAACAGCGAAGTTATTTTTCTCCACCGAGCGCTTGTATTTTTCCAAATTGCGTTCATAAAACGCCCGTGCGCCGTATTAGACGAGTGGTGAAACATTCCCTCGTAAGAAACAAAAAAACCCACGCTCAAAACACAATATACTGTATTGGGTTTTCCAGTCATCCTTTTTAAAACAAAGGCAATGCCATGGCTGCAATTCACTAATATACATGTTTGGACACTACATTGTGTTATATTCACAAGTCCTTTTGGCAGTAAAATCGATATTAAAGTGAACATCGCGTCCGCGTTTCTCATTGGAGGCTGATGGAGAGGGACGGTACTAAAAGAGCCACTCAGCAGCGCCGCGCACTACGATCCTCTGATTTGCATCTCGCCTCCTATAAAAGGAGCTCAACGCGCGAGCGACATCCACATTCGCTTCCCGTCTGTTCTGACCTGAAGCTGCTGCCTACGACGCGTCGACATGCCCGATCCTCCCGCATCAAAGAGCGCTGGGCCGGCCAAGGTTCCTGCTCCCAAGAAGGGCTCCAAGAAGGCTGTGACCAAGGCTACGCGCAAGGATGGCAAGAAGCGACGCCACCGCAGGAAGGAGAGCTACGCCATTTACATCTACAAGGTGATGAAGCAGGTGCACCCCGATACCGGCATCTCGTCCAAGGCAATGAGCATCATGAACTCGTTCGTCAACGACATCTTCGAGCGCATCGCTTCCGAGGCGTCCCGCCTGGCGCACTACAACAAGCGCTCCACCATCACTTCTCGGGAGATCCAGACCGCAGTGCGACTGCTGCTCCCCGGCGAGCTGGCCAAGCACGCCGTGTCGGAGGGCACCAAGGCCGTCACCAAGTACACAAGCTCCAAGTGAAGCCTCGACTCCACCATTAATTACAAAGGCTCTTTTCAGAGCCACCCACCTCTCCGAACCTGCTTGTACCAGTCCTAGCAGGAGTACGAAACGAAACTTCCAACAAAGCCCCGGTTCACGCGGGGACATTGTTCGCTCATTGAGTGGAATGGAGAGATGGAACGCATTTTAACCTGTTTCCACGTGAATAAAAGCGATAACAATATTCATGGCACATCATGTTCACCAGCAGGCATTTCTTGGACTTGTTTGTCCATTGATTTCATCTGCAGCCCATTCAGATATTACATTGGATATTTGGTGCCAAAACCTTGCAATGCAATATATTTAATTCGTGGTTGTATTTTCGGGCAGGAACTAACATTTTGCACGTGTGCATCTATGTAAAAGTAAGCGCCTAGCATGGATGACTCGTGCAGTATAATTGATGATCATCATCTCAATGCCAAGAGAATAGATATCTATCCCTGTGATCACCTCTTTCCGACAATTTTACGTATTAACTTTGGAGCTTTCGTGACTGCAGGAATTATTCTTTGGTTCTTTCGGTAAAGTCACGTATATAAAAAAAACAAATTGGTGATATCTGTCTGCTTATATGTCTGTCTATAATTTTTTCTGGTTCGATTTTATGTCGCTATTTCATTATACCTGATGATGATTGCTTGTGTTGCAATCGAAACGTCGTATGCTATTATTTAATTTATTATTTGTTATTTTATACGTGACTTTACCGAAAGAACCAAATAATCATTTACTGCAGTCACGAAAGTTCTAAAATTAAGATTGATGAAGAAGAGTTGACGACTCGAGATCATTGCACGCTGCCAACCAATCAGCACGCGCCCCTTCTTCGCACGTCACGACTCCGCTGACCAGTGAGCGCGCGCTCTGGGCTACATAAGCCGCCTTCTCCTCCCCGCCTGTGAGAATCTTTGCCCTCACCAAGCCATGGCTCGCACCAAGCAGACGGCTCGCAAGTCCACGGGCGGCAAGGCCCCCCGCAAGCAACTCGCCACCAAGGCGGCCCGAAAGAGCGCTCCGGCCACGGGCGGCGTCAAGAAGCCTCACCGCTACAGGCCCGGCACCGTCGCTCTGCGCGAGATCCGCCGCTACCAGAAGTCCACCGAGCTGCTCATCCGCAAACTGCCCTTCCAGCGCCTCGTCAGGGAGATCGCGCAGGACTTCAAGACCGACCTGCGCTTCCAGAGCTCCGCTGTCATGGCTCTGCAGGAGGCCAGCGAAGCGTACCTTGTCGCGCTCTTCGAGGACACCAACCTGTGCGCCATCCACGCCAAGCGCGTCACCATCATGCCCAAGGACATTCAGCTCGCCCGCCGCATTCGTGGCGAGCGCGCTTGAACGCCCAGCTCGGCCCTCAAAGCACAACACAAAGGCTCTTTTCAGAGCCACCACTTACTCGTGAGAAAGCTTCCATGTGTGTCCTTCAAAGTTCGGGTGCCGGAAACCTTCGTTTGCTGGTCACGGCTCTCACGAGTCGTCAGGCGTAAGCGACAATCAAGTTCATTTTCTATACCCCGCCGCTCATATTCTGCAACATCACACGTTGGTGTTGTGTATAAGCGTTGTGAAACCATGTTTACATAATGTACAACAAAAGAGTTATTTTGGTGAAATGTATTTTACCTCGGAGTCGCGTGGTGGTGTGGAGGCCTAGCACCGTGCAGAGCCTCCCGCCTCGCCTGATTTTGCCACCCGGCTGACGCTGGGTACGGGTGCCGTTTCCCCCCCCCCCCACCGCGCTACAATAATACTGTGTAATCGCTATAATTTAATAATCTACCGACCCTATAATAGTAATAGCACACATTGTGGTGGGGGGGGGAGTAAAGAGGACGTGAAACTTAGATGAATTTACCTCAGAGTCGCGTGTTAATGCGTGCGCCTATTTTTAACGGGAATTAAAGATGGCGTCCACCCCGCAACTGCTAGCCCGTCGCTAGGCGTTGGCAGGGGCAACCGGCGTCCAATGAAAGTGCGTATGGTCCGACATCCACACACAGACAGACAGACATTCACGATTTTATATATATAGATTAAACCCAAAGATATTGGTTTATGCTGTTTCAAGCCCGAGCTGATAAGAAGTTCACATTTTGCAAACTGAGACTGAATTATTCACGCACATATATTTTTAGGCATTGCCCGAACAGGCGGTTAAAGAAAAATATCTATACACCGTATAGGCACGTGGGCGATCAATCACGAGCTCAAGGCTATCACAATGATTTCTTATAACCAATGCGGTCCCTCAAAATGATGATTATAATCAATAATACATTGATATTTGCGGAATCCGCTTATAAGTTTGACTTGCCAGCACGCGCCCATAAATTAACTCTATCATGCTTAAAACTTGAACCTATTAAGGTACGTGTATCGCATTGTTTAATTCATAAGATGCGTGTGCGCATTAAAACATATATGGATACAAATAATGAAAGTCAACATCGAATCCTCGCGTCCCGGCTTGTCATTGGTGGCTCAAGGAGAGGGCGGGACTCGACCGAGAGGAGCCAATCAGCAGCGGCGCGCTCTACGATCCTCGTCTCCGCTATAAAAGCCGCTCCCGTGGTGCGTGTTAACGTCACAAATCGTTCGTACTTTGTCTCCAGTGCTTTTTGCATCCTAGGTCCCTTAACGATGTCTGGACGCGGCAAGACCGGTGGCAAATCTCGCGCCAAGGCAAAGTCCCGCTCTTCCCGCGCCGGCCTGCAGTTCCCCGTGGGTCGCGTTCACAGGCTGCTCCGCAAGGGCAATTACGCCCAGCGGGTCGGCGCTGGAGCACCCGTCTACCTGGCCGCCGTGCTCGAGTACCTTTCTGCCGAGATCCTCGAGCTGGCTGGCAATGCCGCCCGCGACAACAAGAAGACGAGGATCATCCCCCGACACCTGCAGCTCGCCGTGCGAAACGACGAGGAGCTCAACAAGCTCATGGGCGGCGTGACTATCGCCCAGGGCGGTGTGCTGCCCAACATCCAGGCCGTGCTGCTGCCCAAGAAGACCTCTCAGGCAAAGAAGTGAACGCGCCGCCGCCTCTACCACCACAACAACGGCTCTTTTCAGAGCCACCCACTTGCTTGCAAAGAGCTCGGACAGTCGTGCACAGGGGTTTTGTTATTAATAAGGACACCGTCGTCGAGTTGCCCTCGTCCCAAATTGCTCGCAATTAAACGAATGCTGCATTCCAACATTGCATCAATCATGGAACATGGTTTAGAATAAATTGAGGTGCCTATTGGAAGAAAGTATCGTGTTTTTTTAAAGAATAAAACTCGCTCTTTTTGAGCGGTCAGATTACATATGAAGAGGAGTCGGAGAATGGTTCAAGCACTTCAAGGGATCTGCGAGCCACCCTCACGCACCACGCACCACGAAAACACGACATCTCCGCTCTCACAACACGCACCAATCAATCTTAATTTTTTTTCACATGCGCGGGAAATAAGAGCTGGACGGGGGGGTCAGGGGTTAAAGGGCAGTGACGTCACCCGGACCAGGCGTGCTGGACGCGAATGTGTATTGGGAGCGGAGATTGAGGAGTTAAAAGGGGCTGTGGGACGTGTGCCCGGGGTTGGTCTTGGAACGAATATTGCTGTGCGTTGGTGAAAACAGGTCCCTGTGGGGTGGGCTGGTAGGACCGAACAATTGAATGGCTATAATAAAATGAAATGGCAAAAAATGGGCGCCAATAAGTAGATGGAAACGTAGACGGAGTGGAACATAAGAAACAATAAAGTAGTAGTAACCGTTCTGCAAAAAATAATAGTATTGCACAAGTATGTACCTACGTGAGTGCAGCTTGGAGCAGACACAGTGAGTAGTAACAATCTGCACGAGATGCAGCGCCGTGGGCCACGCCCCTATCACTGTTAGCCCCGCCTCCTCGCCCCCGGTACTGTATTCTCGACTGTAGACTCCGCCCCTTTTGGCCAACGGCCCCTCCCTCCATCGCGCTAAGCTCCGCCTCCCACCGCTTGACCCCGCCCCGCTCCCCCGTGGCTCCCGCTCCGCCCCCGTGGCCCCGCCCTCCACCCGCGTAACCCCGCCCTGCCACCCGTGGCCCCGCCCCATCTCGGTGTCCCCGCCCAGCCCCGCGTAGCCCCGCCCCCTGCCGCTGTAGCCCCGCCCCCTGCCGCGTAGCCCCGCCTCCTGCCGCTGTAGCCCCGCCCCCTGCCGCGTAGCCCCGGCCCCCTGCCGCTGTAGCCCCGCCCCCTGCCGCTGTAGCCCCGCCCCCTGCCGCTGTAGCCCCGCCCCCTGTCCGCTGTAGCCCCGCCCAATACACCCCGAGCGGGGGAGAGATTCCCAGGCCTGGCTCGGCTGGAGAGCCGCCGACGAGGGGGGGGAGGTAGGGAGTTGTTTTTAATGAAAAAGCTTTAAATGTAAATGTTTCTATTAAAAAAACATCAGGGAATGTAACATTGTTAAATATTTACTGCCTTTCACACACACAGGGGAACTATACGAAGGGAGAGCTTGAGGCCTAGGTCTAGGCTTTAGGCCTAGCTGTAGGCCTTAGGCCGCCGTGGGTTAATTGTTAATATAAATGTTTTAATTATTTATGTTGAAGCTTTAAATGTAAATGTTGCTATTTAAAAACATCAGGGAATGTAACATTGTTAAACATTTACTTTTCACACACACGGAACTATACGAAGGGAGAGCTTGAGGCCTAGGTCTAGGCTTTAGGCCTAGCTGTAGGCCTTAGGCTGCCGTGGGTTAATTGTTAATATAAATGTTTTAATTATTTATGTAAAAGCTTTAAATGTAAATGTTTCTATTAAAAAACATCAGGGAATGTAACCTTGTTAACCATTTACTCCCTTTCACACACGCGGGGGAACTATACGAAGGGAGAGCTTGAGGCCTAGGTCTAGGCTTTAGGCCTAGCTGTAGGCCTTAGGCCGCCGTGGGTTAATTGTTAATATAAATGTTTTAATTATTTATGTTGAAGCTTTAAATGTCAATGTTGCTATTTAAAAACATCAGGGAATGTAACATTGTAATTAAAAGCTATCTGAGGGAATTATAAGGGAATGCTACACTTGGTTAGCCAGGATAGCGTCACTGAGTCTAAATGTTTTTGTAGGGTCATGCCAAGTGTTTGCAGTAGGGGGCGATGTTGACACACGGACGGACGGACGGACAAACGGACGCACGATATAATCTATTGGAGTCTGGTCCACTTCGTTCCTACCAGAAGTGCATAAACCAATCTACTACGCCTCTTCACATGCGCGTGGAACGAATGATTATTGCATTCGTTCTAAATTTGTAGCTTTCGTGACTGCAATGATTCATACTCTTAGGTTTTTTCGGTAACGTCACGTAGGTAAAACAATAATAAATAACTAAAACAATATAAATAATAAAATAACAAATCAGGGGGGAAGAGGGGGGCTTATCTGAATGTGGTTGCCGGGAAGTGGCGGGGGTGTCGGGGCTAAAAGAGAACAAATGAGCACATCAGCTCAGGGTTGTGGCCGGTGTTAGCTGATAGTAAGCATAAAAGTACTGGTAAACGCTGGGGATGTTAACACTCGGTAAAGTATAATATTACCTGTCAAATAAGATGGTACAAATATGTGTATTTAAATATTTTTTACATGGTTAATAACATCTTTCCAATGATTACTCATTCGTGTTACTTAGTGCAGTAAATACGTGTTACTTATTGCAGTAAAAACAACTCATCGCATGAACCATCCTGCGCTCCTAGAATATCAACTCTGTCAATGCATTAAACGTAAGATTATATATTTTCTTTAAACATTCGACTGCGGAGTCACTTGAGTTGAATTTGAGTGGTGATGATTGTGCACCGTGCCTTCAAGGCGCGCGACCCTTCTGCAGTGCGTGAGCTACTCATCTCTTGCCACGTAAAATGTTAAACTTTCCATATAATGTCGGTTAATTTTGAGTAATTTTCTTCAGTTTGTTGTCCATCTGAAAATCCATAAATTTATTCATTTCAAAGTTCGATTAAAACGTCCAGTTAAAAATTCGGTGACAAGGGACGATTGACATGGCGCGCAGTCCTCACCATAGCGTGAGAGGAGGAATCGCGAGCGCGCGAGGCAAAACTTAAATAGAAAATATTTTGTTGGAATTAAATATGAGTAGTCTGTTGAAGCATCTTGTCTTGCAAAAAATTCGAGTGCGTTTTAAATAGTGTTCATCAGTAACACTTTTGAAAACCGACAATCATCATATCTTGTGTGGGGGTCGCTAGCCCCCGAAATCCCTCCCTCGATAATGCTAACGGCCGGGCTAGCATCATCAATCGCCCCCCCGCTGCTAAGCGAACCGCTGCTAAGTTCCTCACCCATGGTGTGGGAGCCGTCGCCCGAGGGTTCCACTCCACCGCGGGTCCGCGTAGCAGGCATGGTTAATTACGTACGCGCACACCCACACACACAGCTCTGTACGGCACTCACTCTTGCGCTTCTCTGCGCCGCGCTGGCCGCTCACGTTACAATCGCGCACCTGGGGTACGCCGATTACGCACGCCGCGAGCTTACGCACACACAGTACCACACGCGTTCCCACACGCAACCCGCGCGCTCAGCTCCGTGCAGCGCTCACTCACGTGGCGAACCACTGTGCACACAGCGCACCCACACGCTCACACTGCACGACAAGATCACGCGAGACCACGCTTCGCTATTAATGATTTATTATATGCCACCTGCGAATTGATGTTGAATCAGTGAGTCGACGAGGCTGGCCTATTCCACTAAACCTGTACCTATTCCCTATTTATCGGCTTACGATACCCTACTTTACCTCCCCACTCACTGTTTGGTGCCCGCGGAGGTTCGCTGCTCTCTGCGCTAACAGCGTACCTCGATGCGTCGCACGGACGTCCGGGTCGCTGGCTGGAACTCCTGCTGGTCCGCTGGCCTGGAGAGAAGGGGCGATTTCCCCTCTCCGCTCCTCTATTTATCCTTCCTACCTCAAAGGGGATGCTGCGCTGAACAATGGGCTCGTGCACCCCAAGCCCGTGCACGGCGGTTCCCCGGGCGCTGTTGATATGCTAATCAGTGAGCGACGTTGGCGGCGTACATCCTAATTACTCCCTTACCCTTCCTAACAATGGGGCCCTGCGCGCTCCAGCGCAATTATCCCAACCCCCCATGACTATGCGCAACAGCCCCTGTGACCCCGCTATTCATGCTGTCCCGTGCCTCCCCTGCTTGCCCCGTCGACTCGTGGGGTGTGTGTGGGGGGAAATGCGCCTCAACCGCGGTGGCCGAATGCCCCACGCCGCGACCACACCATATTAAGGCCGGCAGCAGCGCCGCGGTACCACGTAGCACGGGGGAGGTCATCCAATTCCCTGATCGCCGGAAACCGTGAGAATTAATCCCGATAAGGGTCTCTCGGATAAAAACCGGTCGATCAGGTAACCTTCCCTTCCAGCTCTATGGGGGGGGGGGGGGGGGATGCGTGCGGGTGTGTGCTTATGTGGGGCGGGTGATTGGGGGCAGTGCGGTGGGGGAAGCCGGGCGGCTCCCTGGCTCGGCAGAGCGGCCCCGTCGCTTGTGGCACCACATAGCCCCCCGGGGTGCCAGTCCCCGTCCCGGGTTGACTTGAGCACCTCGCCTGGGTTGCCCCCACGAGGTATCGCCGCGGGGTCCGCGGGATTCGCCCGGCCCTTGTGGTTGGCCTCGGGGGTGGCGGCTCCGTCTCCTGGGGCTCCGGCGGTGGTCTCCTCCTCCATTCCAACGGCTCCCCTCGGCCTCTGGCACCTGCGGGCTGGGGAACAAACTCAGAGGCGGTGGGGTTTAAGGGTCGCCGTCCTCGTCGCCCCCGGCCCCGCCCGGGGCCCCTCGGAGCCCGGGGCTCCGTGGGGCCCATGTACTGCGCGAGGCCCCCGGGCACGGGGGGTGGGGGGACCCCGGGGTTTCGGGGTACTTGGACGGCGGGGCTCCCCCCCTCGGGGGCTGCTCGCCACGGCTTCAGTCGGCGGATGTTGACCACCATCTCCCGGCCCCTCTCTCCTCCCTGAATCAGCACCGTCCATGGTGAGATCTGCCGTCTCACAATCCAGGGTCCTCGCCAGTAGGTGGTCAGCTTCCCCACCTGTCCGGCACCGACGCGGGGAGTGTACAGCCACACCTCGGAGCCCGCAGTGTAGAAGGGGGGCTCCATACGGGGTCGGGCGCCCTGCTCTTGCCGCTGGTGCGCGGCCTCTCCGTGCGGGCAGGCTCGGCCCCTGGCCCCTCGCAGGGTCTCCAGCAAGTGCTCCACGGGGTGGCTCCCTTCCTCCCGTTGCGGCGGAGGAACACCGAACAGCAGATCTGCGGGCAGGCGAGACTCGCGACCAAACATCATTAGGAACGGGGTCTGTCCTGTAGAGGTGTGAACGGCGGTGGTGTAGGCGAACAGGGCATAGGGAAGGTGTTCGTCCCAGTCCTGTTGATTCGCGGCCGCCATGCGTTTAAGCTTCCCGGCCAGAGTCTGGTTCATCCTCTCTACCATCCCGTTCGCCTGGGGGTGATACGCCGTGGTTCGGTCCTTCTGGATCCCGAACTCTCGGCACAGCGCCTGAAATAGTTCGGCCTCGAATTCACTACCCTGGTCGGTAATGACTCGTTCGGGGATCCCGCACTTAAGTACGTAGTTTTCCACGAAGGCCCGGGCCACTACAAGGGCTGTTTTATCCGGGATAGCCACCGCCACGGGGTAGCGGGTGAAGTATTCCACCGCTACGAGAATATATCGGTTGCCCCGGTGGGATCGTGGAAAGGGCCCCTGCAGGTCGATTCCGACCAACTGATTCGTCCGACTGACTCGGAACGGCCTCAGGGGTACCTGGTACCTCGCCGGCTTTTGCCCACACTGCTGACAGGCCCGGCAGCCCTGCACCCAGGCGGCCACATCTTGTGCCAATTTGGGCCAGAGATA